TTTGAAATTGGGCAGTGTCTCAATCTAAATAGATGAATAGCTCCTCACAGATGTGTTAATGTCCTTTCCTCACATTCTTGAATTGGCAAAAAAGAATGTCAACACAATTTTCACTCTCTCTATAGCCAGGTTTTACTGTGCCTCAACAAAAGGACCAAGAGTGGTTCCCTCCATGAATATTTAACATGGGTTGGTTTCAGAGCAGAAGCTAGTAGAGTTGCATTTTTGTTACTGATAAATGCATGTTGCAAGCAATTTTCCTAATACTTATTTTTCTTCATATTTACATAATTAAGTATAAAGTACACACCAATGAATTTTATGTTCTATAAAATTTTCAAAAAATTTGCTCCGTTTAAAAGTGGCTCCAAAATAAAAATTAGATAATTTCTCTTGCAAATACAAATAAGACACATTTCTCTCTCCCTCCAATATTATTTCCTGCTGTTGCATAGAATTTGCTACTATTCAACTTAATAGCAAACAATTACCATACAAACTTGAATTTATCCCTAATTTCTTGAAATCTGGATTTCTAATGAAAATATGCCACATTATATCATTATATGTAGCACTTTGATAGTACAAGTGTTCCATCTGTAGGTTTTTCACTGTTCCTTTCTTGTCCTAAAAACAGTGGATGCATATTATTCCTATTTCATTAGCTCAGCATAAAATAGGAAAAGCTTGAGGCAATTCACTTGGATAGTATTATTACTGGCAAAATATTGAAATGGCTCTTGGATAGTTAACACCTCCTCTTTGCCTAATCTCTTTTAATTCTGTTTTTGTGCCTGTTATAATGTTAACGTTTTTTATTTTAACAATATTAATTTGTATATTTTCGTTTTAACTTTGTGTATGCCACCCAGAATCATTTGATTGTGACACATGCAGCTATGTAAATATGATGAATGAACAAATGAACGAATGAATGAATGAATATTCCTAGTAATCTGTTTCATGACATGGAATTCCATTCCCCTCTTCCAAAATTGGTAAATTTCTCAGTAGCATCCGCTGAATCTTTTGCTATTTTTCCCTAGAAATGTTGCAATGATGTTTGTTTTAGGTTAAGTTTTAATTAAATTGGCTGGGATAAAATTACAATTCATTCTCTGCCAACACAGACATCCAGGCTTCTGGCTAGTGGTAGCTAAAGTCTATTTTCAATGCCATCATCATATTTACCAGAGTAGTTTCTCCCCGAGGTTATTTAGTTTGAAAATGGCACAATCTATTACAGAATTCAAACACAGAATTAATTAAAATTGCTGTGTGGTAGAAATTTCATTGAGATATATAATAATTGATGGATTGGGAAACATTTATCTGATCTAGATGGACTGGACCAGGCCTACAAAATGCAGGTTCTCTATCACTGCAATATTTTGCTTGTGTTAAGCTTGGACTCTTAACATTGTGGCCATGGCCACAAAATGCACCACCAATTAATAAAATAATGGATAATAACCAACTGTAAATTTAGTACTTTATGAAGCACGAGTTTATGCACAGAAAAAGAGATAATGGAGGAAATGTCTTATAGATGATGACAATGAGTGGCCCAACATTTTTGAGTAAAAAAAGCACTATTTTGTAACTGACTACATCCATCTCAACAATTATATCACAACATGAGGCAGTGCTCTCCAAATGCCAATCCTTTCTCCTAGCTCACAATGCTTGGTGGACCTTGAACTAAGTACTACCCTTTATTTAGGGAGCTATCTTTTAAGTCATGTTTTCAGTCTTAATTTGACATACAAACTAAAAACAGAAAGTTTTTCTTGAATAATTTGTCTACTTGGATCTGAGACACCAAGGATGTGGTTACTCAAAATTTCCCAAGTTCTTTATTTTATTTGATTGTGGTATATTTTTAATCTGATTTGGGTGAGATATCTTTGTCTTTTCCCAGGTTGCACACCTTCATTGGGGTCCCCCTGAATGAGCCAAGGTGGCGCAGTGGTTAAATGCAGCACTGCAGGCTACTGCTAGATCAGCAGGTCAGCGGTTCAAATCTCACCGGCTCAGGGT